GACAGCCTACGTGGACAATGAGGTGGCATGGAAACCTAGTATAATGAGTAAATTTAAATCAAAAGGTTACCCAATGCTATAATGTGTAAATTTTTCAAAGTACAATGTCCTAATAAAAAATAATTTGAAAGTACATTGCTGTAATAAGAAAAACTGAAAGTACAATGCTATAATAAAGAAATTTATGAAAGTAGATTGTTATTTTATGCATTTTGCCCTATGCACAATTTACTTGTAATGTTGAATTTTAAGTAATGTGAATCAATAAACTGTACTTTATACATAAAAAATAATTTTTAAAATTTTTTATCAAATGTTTTATAATATAACTAGTTGTGTACCCGCGCAATGCGGCGGGAGCCATGAATTTTAACGATTTTGAAGTTTCACTGGTTTTATAAGACAAGATTTAACGATGATATAGATTACACTTGATCTTTACATATTAATACAATTTGAATAAATAARAGYTATGGTTCTAATTACAGACTATCGATGAAAAAAATTGTATGACAGTTTAAAATCCAATAAACTACAAATTTGACAGATCATAAGCTATGAAAAGACCAAAAAAGATGGGTTTTAGAATGAAATTTCAACTGCTTATCCTCTTTCTTGTCCAGAAGCTCAGATTAAGGTTGAATTAATATATGTATATATATTTCAAAAAAACCCAAGAACATATTATACAGTGCAATTTAGACATCCTAATCCCAAAATGTATAGCATATATATAAATAAATAACTATAAAAGTATAAATCGTAAACATTAAAAATATTTTTTCACAGTATATATAATAATATAATTAAGTCAAAAACTATTCAATATTTGACTCATTTTGAAGGTATTAACGAGACGATTATAATAGTGTAACTTGTTAAAATAAAAATATATTTTTTAAACATGTTTTATTTGATATACGATTATGTATGTTAATTTGATAAATGTTTAAAATGAAACATTTAAAAGTAAAAGACGTAAAGTAATTAATTAACTAATTATAGGGATATAAAATGTAAATTTAAAATTATAATTTTTAAAAAAATCCATTGAATGTGAGAGGTAAATGTATGTGAGGGTGTGAGTCTATGTGAGGAGAGGAAAGGGTGAAAAAGTGAAAAAGGTATCTTGGTCATTTAGAATTTTAAGACTTTAAGACTTTTGATGAATTTGCTTAATAAGATAGTATAGATATAGATATAGATATAGATGTGATAATTAATTATGTAATTGTTTTTAGTAAGTTCCTTCTATTTACCAAGCAATACATTCTTTGGCTCTTTTACTTCTAGAGTTTTAGATATAATATTGGATCTAATAATTTTGATTATTTAGTGTTTTTTTAATGATGTGTTCTGAAATATTTTTTGAGTATTTAATAGAATTTAGACTTTTTTTAATTTTTTCATTAGGACTTGTATAATTTCTAATATTAATGTTTTTTATGATGATAGATTAATAAAAGGGTTCTTACTGATATATATATTTTTGTAATTACCAGTAATGATTGATTGATTCTATATATATGACCCCTTTAACTATAAAATTTGAATTAGATATTTTAAACGTCAACAATTTATTCAAAAACAAAGAGGAGCCATCGGTCGATTTTATTATCAAAACAAACGTCAGAATATAGTAAGAAAACAATTTAATAATTAAAATAACTTTTAGTTTTTCGCACATGATCTCCAAAATATCATGACGAGTCCAATCCTCCCCAATTAGAAGTGAGTCATGACATGTATTTTTGATCCTCATCCCAAATAAATTTCTCACTCATATCGATATCAAAATACTTTGAGCAACAACTAGTTACATCAAATTACCTATAAAGCAGACATACATATGCACATACATGCAAAGTTGCATTGAAAATAATTTTAATATTCCAATATGACACATATAATACTATCGTGACATGTGCGGTCAATTTTCATGTTATAAAAAAGGAAACACATGTGCACAGAATAGTAAAACATCGTATAACATACATCTCGGTTTTAAATTCCAATGAATGCATAGATTATTATTACATTTATTTACTATAATTACATTTTTAATGGAGTTGATCTTAGTCTCTATTAATTTTGAAATTATAACAAAATCTAGACATTTATTAAACATGTAATGACAATATTTGAAAGCATGCAAAATTAATCAGAACATTTAAGTATTCTGGTATAAAACATAACTGAATACATACGGCATGACAAACAAAGATAATATAAATTTTTATGACTGAAATATATATTGATAATAAAATATCACAAATATATAAATTTTTATATTAATAGTTGATTTGAAAATTTTACTAAAAGATTATATTTTTTTTATGATTAAATATAACAAAATTTAGATTAATATTTTATGGCTGTTAAATACTAGTAAAACGTTGAAAAATTAGTTAGTAAAGTATTTGAACTAAATACCCCAATAAAAGAATCCACTTCATAATTTGCAACTACACCAAAAAGAAAAAGAAGGGTGAGTGGATGGTGACGATTACGATTATGCTTATGTTTATGTTCATGTTCATGTTTATGTTTGTTTGAAATTAAAATTGAAATTGAAATGAAAGACGACCTCACCAACCTACCAATCCCAATACCATCACCATGAATTTGGACCTCTAATTTATCTTTTCTGGTACAAAATACAAAGAAAATCATGGGTGTCTGAATGTCGTCGCCAAGCTTTAATCAAATGGGTCAATTTAAAACGTGACTTGTCTACAGAGGAGCTCATTTCCCAGAAAGTTCGTCATAACCTTTAGCAGAAGAGAGAGAAAGAAAGAAAGAAAGAAAGAAAGAAAGAGATGACCCACCCCAACCCACAAAAAAACCTTATGGACTTCACATTAACGATAACAAAGCTTCAATCTTTCAACTAACCTTGTGATCTTTCTCTTCTGATTTTTGCCCCCTTCTTTTTCCTTTTAAAGTTGCAATCACTAAAGCTGAGCTCATGGGTCTTGCTTCCCAAGAAGCAATCAACCAGTTCAAGGCGTTAATGGACCAAGGTTTGTTTATTAATCTCTAATTTCTCCTCTATCTTTTTCTTTCCTGGATCATTTACTAACTTTTTGGAGAAATTCTGGGCAGTTGACGAGCCTCTAAAAAAGACATTCAAGGTTTTGCAAGCTTTCTCCTTTACTACCCTTTTAGATCTACATCTATTGTTAAATTCTAGTCTCGGTTTCTTACTACTGATCTTGTTTTCAGTTTTAACCTTTTTTCTTTCATCTTTTGAGATATTCCTCTCTAGATTTGAAAATGCTACTTCTGTTCTCAGAGGAATTACTCAAACTTCAAGATCTCTGATGTTTCTAGGCATATCTAGATTTTCTCAAAAGTAGATAGATTTTGTGTAACATATCTGCTCAACTTTGAATTTGGAAGCTTTTATTATTTGTCACAGAATAACAGATCCTACAGCTTCTTTGTATAAATCTTTATCTCTCGTTTGCTGGCATGCTACAGTGTTAGAAAGGGTTTACAGCAGACTTTTGTTTCCATGTTTATCATTAGATAAGATTGAGAAGAAATGATGGTGCCACAGTTGTATTGGTGTGTTTGTATAGTAGGTTGGAGGATACATTCAATGATAGACATAACTAGTGCAAATTGTCTTATGTAAAATCCTCGACTGCTGTTGGGTTGTGTTAAAAACTCTACTTTTTCCTCATCTAAATCTACCTTCATTCCGTTGGGTGGCGTATTCTTTTTTGAGTAGTTTGAGTAAATAGTTGACCAAACATTGCCTTCTATCTCTTCAGAATGTTCATCAAGGATATATAGTTGAAACTTTGGAACGATTTCTTAAAGCAAGAGAGGGAAATGTTGCCAAAGCTCACAAGATGGTTCAATCCATGACCCTTATACTTAAATGACATGATAGTACTAAATCTATCTGTTTTTCCTCAACTTACTAGTGGTTTCATGTAAAACTACAGTTGGTAGATAGTTTACAGTGGAGGCTGCAAAACGGGATAGATGACATATTAGCTGTAAGTTTGATCTGCAAACACTATACTATGTGATACTATACCAGAGTGATGCTGCATTCGAGTATAATGGTATAGTGACTAGCAAGTTTTCTTACGCAGAAACCCATAATTCCTGCTAATTTCTATAGAGGAGTGCGTGATTCGCAGCTGATAGGAGTGTCTGGTTACACAAGAGAGGTTACATTGCGTTCATCCTTCTCTCATACTTATCTTTTTCATTATTCTTACTCGTATCTATTGTCTATCTCTGGCAGGGCCTTCCTGTTTTCGCTATTGGTGCAGGCCTCAGCACATTTGACAAGGCATCTGTAAGACTTCATTAGAAATCTAACAAGAATCTGTTAAATATTTTGGTAGATGAAATGGCTGGTGTTTAACGATTTCTATATTTTATCTTATTATTGATTGCAGATCCATTACTATGTGCAATCGCACATTCAAATTAATGAGTATCGGGATCGTGTGATTTTGGTAAGAAGAATATGAAATGATTTAGGTTTTATGTACCAATTTAGTTTACCTCTTAAGATGGTATTTTAATACTTGTTGAATTCATTGCAGCCAGCTGCAACAAAAAAGAATGGAAGATATATCGGCAAGTGTGTGAAGGTTTTGGATATGAGCGGCCTAAAGCTTTCTGCATTGAACCAGATAAAGGTACGTCCTCCGCCTTCTGAGATTTAATAGTTTATGTATATCTTTACCATCTTATAAAGCATTTAGGTAAAAATATTAAATTTCAAAAGTACATCTATGAAAATAAAACTTTTAGAAGTTTCTGGTGATGATCCCTCGACGATTGCTTAAGCAACAATTGTTCGTGGCCTAATTTGTGCCTTTCAAACCGAAGTTATAGTCCATTCCATTGTAGAAGACCAAAATTCCCCTACACCGTTTAAAACCAAAGTTGACATCCATTACGCAAAATGGTAGGGGGTACGATCCGATGTGCATTTAGAAGAAAAGATGAATTGAAATGCATTAATGAGCATTGATCTTTTTGGGCCCTGCAGCTGCTGACAACAATCTCTACCATTGATGATCTCAACTACCCTGAGAAGACCATCACTTATTATATAGTAAATGTTCCATATGTATTCTCGGCTTGTTGGAAGGTCAGCTTCATGTGTTACCAGTAGACATCTAGCGAGTAATTTGGTTTGAATCTTTAAGTAGATTATGAAGATTTGGTACATATATGCCATGTATGCAGGTTGTGAAACCACTCCTGCAGGAACGAACAAAATTAAAAGTTCAAGTGTTGCAAGGTGGTGGTCGTGACGAACTGTTGAAGGTAAACCTAATTGAGCATAATGATCACAAGTCTGTAGAAAGTAAAGTAGTAACGGATAATGTCTGTTTGGTGGTGTAGATAATGGACTATCCTTCCCTCCCTCATTTCTGCCGAAGAGAAGGTTCAGGGTCAGGATCAGGATCAGGGTCTTCTCGCCATTCAGATGGTGGGTGCTACTCACTGGACCATCCTTTTCATCAAGAACTTTATAGCTACATGAAGCAGCAATCGGGGTGTCGTGAACCCATAGAACCAGCAAAGCAAGGATCGGTGCATGTGGATGTGGCCTTGGGAAAGCCTGAAGAGGCAGAGTTATGCAAAACATTGGAATCTGAGTTGAAGAAGCTCAGAAATCAAAAGAGTCTGTCTGGATCTTTAAAAAATATGAAGATCAGTGATTAATGGGTATTTACATATAATATATATATATATATATATATATATATATATATATTATGAAGATGGGTTACTACTAGTATGTATGTGGGTGTGGTTAACAAATTATGTGGATGTAGTTGAATGGGAAGAAGGAAATTAAGCTATATGCATCATTTATCATGACATGATGAGATGTGATCCTTTGGAATAGTCAATGTTAATTAGGTAGGTATTGAATGAATAGAGATGCTTTAGCATTGGACATATTAAATATGTCATCATCATCCTATTGTTTTGGTTGAATTCCCTCCTTTTTCATTTTATTGCAAGATCTTAAATTCCAAATGCTGGACTTCCCTGTCAACTATACACAGGATCATCAAACATAGGCAGTTAAAATTTGGAAAATGGTGCAAAATGATATGCAGCCATTCTTTTAGTAGCTGATAAATAGCAAAGGAATTGTAACAGGTGATATCAAGAAATCATTTTCCTTACCTCTGTTTCATTTCTTTGTGGCAATCATTTGCAGCCTACCCTTTACATAACCCACTTTCAGGAACATTTTCATTACTAAATTGCTCACGCTCTTTGCTAAATGAGGCAATGGTTGGAATTCCCTTAATAAAAAATATTCACGACCAGCGTAGAGTACACATCAAGATTCAAGAGCAAGTGTACCTATCTATCTATGTATCGCTTTGATGAATACTAATAGTAGTAATACTATCTATCATTAGTAGTGTATACATTAAGAAGCTAAACTACATACACAAAACGAAAGAATAGAGCCACCACATGTCAACTATATCTGTACATTCATCAAAACAAGAACCATACATCACTGCACATTAACATAGATTATGTGCTACACACCATATTTCCCATTTATTGGTTGGTGGTCATCTTCATTCTTGCCTATGCCATCAGTCTATCAAAAACCTATTTGCTTTCATCTGCTTTCCTAACTTGAGTCTTCCATACACCCTGCATGGACGATAACAACATTATTTTCTTAATATGGAGCAAGAGAAATGGAACTAGGGGAAAACTGGATTATGAAAAGACAGAGAGATAGATGGGTACAAGAGGCATGTCATCAGAGAACTCGGCCTCATCAGAATCTTCTGAACTTTTCCTATCATGATCCGTTGCCTGGCTCGATCTATTTGCTTCCTCAGTTGAGTTTTCCCTTGTCGCACTTGGCGACTCTTTCACTTCTTCTTCATCATCAGATCCTGATCTCTCAACATTCTCAGTTTCTTTCTGCCCAGAATCAGGTTCAATTTCCTTGGAGGAGTCACTATCACTGAAGCTATGTTTCGCATGTTTATTTTGCTTCTCCTCATCTGACTCCTGCTCACCTGCTGAATTTCCTCCCTCTCTATCGCTTGCCTCTTCTTCTACATAAGTAAACAAAGACACAGCAACTCAAAACAATCCCAGGAGTCGAGAAGCAAGCTCAAATAACAATTATCATCCTCAAACGAAAAGGAAGTTTGTGAGACCTTCACCTGTATCTAAATTATCAACTTTGGAGAATGTGGCATGCTCATGCTCAGGTTCACTCTCAGGCTCAGGTTCCGTCATATCAGGATCCTCTTTTCTTTCTGCTTCCAAATATTCAAGGGTTCTTTGGAAAACCCCCTTTCGTCTTTGCTTCAAATTTTTTCTTGGGGTTCTTTTGCCTCTTACCATGGACGACGGAGGTCTGTAATCCCATTAAGACTTGATGAAAAACAATAATTTCCAAGAAAACTAACTGAATTTTCAATCTCTTACTCACATGTCAGTAAATTCCTCGTATTTTTCCTTGGCATTATCCAAAGATTTAGTATTCTTCTTGGAGGACCTGTAAAACAGTCGAGATACAGTTAAATCCTTGCCAGCTGCCTACCAGACCAACATGAAGTCACTTGCTAAAGAGGAGTACGGTAGCCCAAAGATGCTTAGCATAAAAGATGAATTTTATATATACTCAAAACAAAAAGAACACCATCTTGCAACAACTGGATAAAATTACAGAAAATCCAAGGCTTTCACAAGTTAAGTTTATAGATTAGCTGGAAGTACTCACCCTCCTTTAGGGCGTGGACTCTTTGATAATCTATTCCTCTGTAACGGTGAGTTAAACAACATCAGAAATCAATCCACTGAAATTCAAGCATAATGCTGAGAAAATAACACATCACACCTTTGTAGGCTTGGAAGTCTCGCCGACAAGCTCCCACCGCTCCTTGTCCAAACGTAGCACTTCAACATCCCCATCATTGTATAGCACCTTTAACATAACACGAGTTGGTGGAAATGAGAAGAAATAGATGTTTCAACTCACAGCTTTAAATCAACTATTACATTATAGATATGTCAGAAACAATTGGTAGATGAAACAAACATGATTAGGCAGCTTACCACATGTCTTCTCTTTTGATGGTCATAAGACTTCACCAACCCTTCATAAAACCTGCAAATCAGCAATTTACACATCAAGAATATTTCCCACCATTAAACAGTATTTGTTTACGTTGTTAGAACCATCAACAGTTTATACATTTTTTAACAAGACAAAGTATACATGATACATCAGATCATACTAATACAATTTATGAATACTATTATTCGGTACTTTGCAACTGAGACAACGGAAGAACATTGTAGAGCAAAAGAAGGACAAGTAAATGACCATGACAGGAAGAAATGCCAATCACAGGATAAGGGTAAAATGATAACGCTCATGCTTATATGAAAAGGGGATTACAAGGGTAGTAACAAAATGTATAAATTCCAATTAAAAATACAGGATAACTATAAAAAATTGCAAAGAAAAACTCTTTGCAAATTGTAGCAGAATGGCTAGTAAATGGCCATGACAAAACGAATGCCAATCACCCCTATGTATTGCTAGCAAACATATTGAAAATAACCACATATAGAGTTCAAGTGATCTCATGCATGGATAAGATTGCTATGACAATGGCCATGGAAAATCTAGAGGATGTATGGGAACAGTCACATACCCAACAAATCAAGAAGTCCAATCCTACTCAACTACAAAACTTGGTTCAGCAGGAAGTAGTATCTGACACTTCCATATATTGCAGAAAGTGAATACTTGAGAACTACTCCCTCCATCCCAAATAAATGTCCACAATGAAAAAGGCACACAGTTCCAGAAATTGGTAATTGTTACACTTTCTAATCAACTACATGACAATTTTACCCTTATTTAAGAGAGGGGGTAATGGATTCCTTCATCTGATAAAGTGTAACTGCAGAATAGACATTTATTTTTGAAAGTAGACACTTATTTGGGACAAACTAAAATGCAAATGTCAACACTTGTTTTGGGATGGATGCAGTATCTTTCTTACTATATATAGAAGAGAACTCACTCTTTATCCATAGGCCACCAAACTTTTATCCGTCTGCCAATCAAGTCTGTGGTGTGACTTTCCCCTTCCTTTGATGTACACTAGAGAGAAGAAAAATTCATGTCAGAATGGCAATTCATGATGTTACTAGCCATTTCTGAATCTGAATAATAGTGAGAAGCACCAAGTCGTGGAGAAAAAAAGAACTAAACTCTATGTTGCTCAGGGGAGGAAGAGAACTACATAGAAGCTATTAAACAAGGTTAACCACGAAGCAAAAGTAAATTATTTACAACGACTAGCGACTTGATAACATTGAGAATCTTGAGGATCATTAACAATGTAACGGGATTATACATCCAAAGCTCCATCCCACAGTTCATATCAATAGCACCTCATATGGCAGATTGTTGAAACAGTCAAAGTGATACAGAAGACCAGGTATATCATCACTTGTAACGTATTTGGTCCCTGTAATAGCAATATACACAAAATAGAAATAGTCAAGTCACACAAACCTTGGCTAGTCCTGCAATACTTCTTCGTTTCCGCTTCTTGACAGATCCGGACTTCTGATTACCATCAGTATCCATGTATTTTTTAGGCTTCTACAAGAGACAATAAGAGGCACAGTGTCCAATGAAATTAGCAAGTGAAAAAAGGGCGCATTCATAAGTAAAAAAGAGCTACCTCCAAGTTACTGCCGTCGGTATTCCCATGTTCTTCTGTTTGTATATGACCTCTATCAGCACTTCCCCCCTCCAAGTCAGCAGGTACAGGTTCAATATGCTCTCCCAAAAAAAGTTTATTTTCTGAGTCACTGTGAGGTTCATCATTCATTTTGATGTTATCAAAAGCTGACAACCCCTTTGAGCCATTCCTTGGGAAAGAAGATCTCTTATGGCTTTTAGCAGAGGATGACCTCTGACGTTTGGGTACAGAGACATTTGTTGGTTCCTTAGGTAACCTTTTCCTCTTACGCTTTTCATCAACTTTAGCTTTTTCATGACCATTGATAGAATCGAACTTGGTCAGCACACCTGAATTATCCAAATCCATTTCTCTCACCAATCCCAAGATATCAACATTACTATCATTTTCTGCAGCAGCTGGCGTAGATTCATTTTTCACTGCCTTTCTTTCCTTTGCTCCTTTAGCTTTTAGCCGTTTCAACATTTTTCCTAGAGGCACCTCATTTCCATCTGTTTCACTGTCCTTCAGCATATCATCCTCTATAATTTTTGATGGAACCTGATAGATGATAGCACAAGAGAATAAATGCACAAATGTCACCAACTTGTTAGCACATAAAAAGCACTTGATTCTTATGTTGTATATTTTTAGATTAGTATTATATGAACCTGTAGAATGATGAAAATGAGCAGTAATAACATACGTTGTCATTAGCATCCATGTTAAGCGACTCAAAGTGAGCAAAAGCACTAGCATCAGCCAACCATGTCCGGCCTTCAGTGACCTGTTATGTTGCAATCATACCCAGTAAAAGTAACATGTTAGAGAACTTTGGATGCATCTAGAGATTGGTATGCTTGAATAATCAATTCCATCATAGAAGATCGGATATCAGTAGTATGGAGACTCAAGGAACTTACATCAGTAATACCCTCTTCATTCTCCTTTTCTTCTTTCTCCTCTTCCGCTTTCTCCTTTTCTGCTTTATTTTCTTCTTTCTCCTCTACTCTCTCCTCTTCTGCTTTCTTTTCTTCTTTCTCTACTTTCTCCTCTTCTGCTTTCTTTTCTTCTTTCTCTACTTTCTCCTCTTCTGCTTTCCTTTCTTCTTCCTCCTCTACTTTCTCCTCTTCTGCTTTCCTTTCTTCTTTCTCCTCTACTTTCTCCTCTTCTTCTTTCTTTTCTACTTTCTCCTCTTCTTTCTTCTCTTCTTTCTTCTTGTGTGGTTTGTACAACACTTCAGGTAGAGGGACATGTACAACCGCTTCTTTAAGATCTTCTTGCTTTTGCAACAAGCGCTTGGTGATTGAGAAGCACAGGTCGCAGATTGCATATGAGTTCTGAACATGTAATAAAAGGTTAATGATCTATGACACAACAGATTTTTTTCGTTGTGTATTTTAATCACTTCCGTTATGATTTCTCTTCATGAAATTATATAATTTACAATAGAGCTAATGCATCACAACCACAAACTACACACATTAGGGGTAGGAAAGGACTGTACCTTTGACATGTTTGTATCTACAGCATCTTCAGAGCTCCTGATACTTTGAATAATAGAAACTACTGAAATAACCTCTTCCTTCTTTAGACTATTACCGGGCTTGCCATCTTCTTCTCCAAGTGCCAACATAGAAAGAAATAAATACAATTTCCTGGAAATTTAGAAAATATTGTATTATTCAAAGAATCAGACTCAATAAGTATCCGTCCATTTCAGTCTAAAATGTACATATACAAGTAATTATGTGAAATAGAAAAATTAAGTAGCTACTACAATAGATTAGAATAGTCCTACCCGTAAATGGCAAGAGGTCCCAGATACGTTGCACCAGTTGAAAAGAAAAAAGTAATAAACAGCATAATAAACCAGATTTAGTATACCTGTATATGGATTCATATGCTTTGACATCCTTGCATTCATCAATATTTGGACATGACGGATGATGGGCAAGTGCATGAATCAAATAGGGAAGAATGTACTCAGGATGAACCACCAAGGAGTTTCCATCACTTTGGACCGACAGCTGCCTTGCCTTCCCTTGCTGACACATCTGAATGATGTCACTCAGATTATGATGGTCCTGCCAAATTGAAGTTTCAATTATAATATCATTCTCGTATCTTGAAAATATTAGGAAAGGAAGTTGACACTGTAATTTTTAAAGTCACTTTGCAGTTTTTAAGCAGATTTTCGCATTGCTAGTCTAGTAAGAATGCTCTATAAAAGAGCCAAAGGTTTTTCCTATATCAGGCTGAGTCATCATCAAGCAAACAATTATTTATATAACTACGTCGAGTAAATCTATGGCTACTTCAAACTTTTTCCCTTTTTTGAGAAGAAAAAATTATATACCAACAAGAGAGAATGTATGCTACATCACATGCTTTTACTATGTATAAGCTTTGTGGCGAGTTTGCCCATTACTTATAAGAAGATGATGTTGAACCAAAAAAAGACCCAGCAAAAAGTTAAAAGATCCTCGACTGGAAAAACTGTTGTATATGCTACCAACATAATGAAATTTGCAAGAGATCCATTAGGGTAACCTCAGATTTCTCTTCCTGAACTGATTGTTGAGATCCTAAACCTAACAAGAAAGCACAAGCATATTTCGGGTCCAAACTCCGGTCCTTGATGTACTGATGAACTTTGTTAAGGAACAGTTTCTTAACTTCAGGGAATCCAACCTACATGCATCGTAAGAAGAGAAAACTAGGAAGTTATTACGCAAGCTGTGTACAAAAAAACAAAAAAAAAACAACCATATCATCATATAACATAGAAACAGATAAATATCAAACTATACATATTTGTCAATAGCCCTGAAACGAGAAGTTTACCTCTGAAGTTCTCAAGGTGAGGTAGAATACATCAACAGGGATATTCTTATCCCAGTGCTTTGACAGACGAAGAATAGCCTTTGCTGAAGCCAGCTTTAAATGAGCCTTGTCAACAGAACTGAGAGAGGAGATAAAAGGAAAGCACTTCCGGTTTTAAAAGCTCATAAATACAAACTGACGATAAAAAACCCTGTGACTGAAGTACCTTGAAATAATATCTTTTGAGATTTCTCCAAAAGAAAGTATGTGCTGGAGATCTTTTATCAGTTTATCAATCCCAAGACGAAGATGTGCATCTTTGATAGGCAAATAGCTGTTTATCAGGGTTTTAATGCCAAATATCTACAGAACAAATTTGATGGCAATAAGCATGAAAAATTTACAAGTTATTAAAATTGCAACTTCCCATTAACGGTATATTACATAGTTTGACGTAGTTCATATATTATATATGTAAACACACACACACACTTACATATATGCACACACAGACACGCACATACATTGACATATACATATAATTACACGTATACATATACATATTAACATTACTCCCAGTAAACTAACCTTCAATGAACAAAGTTCGCTTCTATCATTCCAAGATTCTTTTGTTTTTTCACTTGTGTTCTGAGACATTGTGAAGCAAATATTACATTTATCATATTGGATAAAGAGTATAAGATAGCAAATGGATTAAACTCGTACCTCACTGCACCCTAAGATATCTTTTCTTATGAAGCCTTCAATTTTACTCTCTTGAGTTTCAAAAACTGGCATGGCAGTTTGTGCTATGCAACCCAGAGACTGTAGCACAGAAGGCAAATGTGTCTTTTTCTCTAGCATATCCACAAGTCTCTGTACATTTTCCAGCAAACATTAAACAAGTATCATATGAGGCATGCTTAAACTCAGGTATGCATGGTATATCAGAACCTTGTATAAAACAGAGAGTGACTTGAGCCCATCATCCTTCGTTATAGCTGCCAAGGCATGTACAGCATACTTGGCCTGCCTCCTACTACCTTCTACGCATATTCTCTCCAGTATGAGATCTAATGTACTGCAAAGCAATAAATATGAAGATCAAAGAGCCAAACACAAAGAAGAATGCCTTAGGTGTCATCACAGTAGATAACCAACCTAGATGATTCTCCCAATTGTTCACGAATTGTTCCACCAGCTTTTGCTAGAACATGCAAAACACCTTCCTTGATTACTTCATTATCATCTTCAAGAAGATAGACCAACTCTTTTTCAGTCCCACAGAGCAATAAGGGACTGAAGGAGGCAAGGATCTGGAAATATATCATATTTATGTGGAGATTATAAGAACCACTAGGAAAAGAAAGAACCGTATAACATTTACAGTGGAAAAACATTAGTATGGCTTTAAGTATATAATCTACAAGTTCCAGATAACAGCATGTCCACATAGTCTGATTGCATGGTACATTGAAATAAAAGAGGCATCTCATGAAGGCTGTGAGTCAGTGGGAATGTATAATGCTTCACTGTATTTACGGAGTATTCATATTGATCAACCATTCATTTCTATCAGGCCCACTAGAAGCTACGAGGACTAGGTAATAAACTATAAACCAGCAAAAGAAAACTAGTGCGATAGAAAAAACCCCAAAATCACAAAAGACCCATATACTAATGCTATTGATTTTAATGGAAATTGCCATGTTTACAGACATGCACGGCCCTCGAACTGGAGGATGCACATATGTGTGGAAAGTGTTGCAAAAAGAAACTTGGAAGCATAAGAACCAAGCATCGAGTATATCGCTTTCTGCACAATCATATACGATAAAAAAAACCAACAGAGTAATAAAAATGTACCACAAGTATATTCATGCACGACTGAGTCAGTAGTCTGTTTCTGGAAGATTTTTGTAGGTCTGCCTCCAGAAGAATATCTTTAACATGATCCTTGTTAAAGAGTATGTATGAGCATTTCATAGAGAGAGTGCTCAGAAATCCATAAAGTGGATGCTTCTGACCAACTATCTTAAGCAATTCATCCTGTAAAAGGAAAGAAAAATGTTACAAGTATATAAAATGCACGAGTCAATGATCCGACCATTGTTTGAATTTGAACTGCATCGTAATTTTAGGTGCTAGAATTGTAACCTGGACCGATGAATTGTTACAACTGTGTCCAAGTTCAAGTGATGCAACGCCGTTAAAGAAATATTGTGAAATCAGAAAAGAAAAGAAAACAAAGAATCAGTTTCGGCTACTTCCTTACCCGAGATCTCCAAGTTTGAAGAGAACTAGTATTGGGGTCAAGTAGCAATGTCAAGATCTTCCAAACATTAGCATCCTTTAGATGATGGAGAAGCTGAAAATCTGCCTCAGCTTTTGTGGGATCTGTGAAACAGTGAGACATAAAGCGAAAGCATAGCGCGACTTTCTTCTGCAGCTCTGAAGGATCAGTGTCCTGCAATTTAAAGCAAAGAGATATCTTTTAATCGCAAACACGTATTTTTGTTCTGCCTGTGGTTAGTAATTGATAGAAAGCAAACCTTATACATCTGCTTAAGAGAAAGATACTTTTGCAACTCTAACTGTAACCTGCAGTTCAAGTAGAATTTTTGAACTCATGTAAAGTGTATTATTCAAGCACAATAGCAAGAACCAGAAAAAATCATTAGGCGAACAAGCACAGTAAGGCAACCATAACAAACCTTTGCTTCTGCTCCAGTATTTTCTCTAACGCTTTTACTTCGACTTTATCAAATTTCGAGAATAGTCTGACCCAGTTTCTAACCTTATCTCGGACAGAAAATTCAGCTGGGAAGAGGGACGTGCATAAAATGTGTTCAACTGTGTCTGATCTGCAACTCGAAAAATGTTCTCAATAGCGTGAATAAGAAAGTGAATTTAAATTTGAGAATGTTAAGAGTTGAAAGGTTGTGTATAAGACAGTGGTCACAACATATTAACAATCTAAAACTAGATAATGGATGGACAGTCATTTTTAGTCTCTTCGTTTATCTGATAGTTGTTCCCAATTCATATGTTTATAAAATATTCACCCCTTAATTTGAAATATAGACAGGGGGTATGTTGCCTCAATGATACAGATATGGGATCACAGTTGTAAGATCAAAGAATAAGCTACTTCAATTTGTCCAACAACGAGAAAGACATAGACATACCTAAAATCTTTGTCATAAAAGCATCTTAAAAGTCGTCCAGGAATCCAGTCATAGTCATCATTCAGAGGCAAACTAGCCATGTGCTTCAAGCAGCAAGTCCGGTATATATCAGATAGCCTCTCCATGGTATACTTTTTCACTGGGAGCTGTATTATAATAAGACTATTCAGATGCATGCCTAATAGTTGATAACAGAAAGTTTGATAGAAGTATATGCTCATAAGAACATGTACTCATTTGTATACAGATATATGCTAACTGAGAAAAAAAGACGGGGAGAGAAAGGAGCTGGATTTATACAGATCTGTCACGAAGTCGCTCAGCTACAAGCTTTATGGTCTCGGCTGAAATAGAAGATAACTCATGACATGCTATGTCCGAAACTACTGCAACCACTTTTTGGCGTATGCTCTCATCATAATCCAACAGCCGGTCACATAGGGCAGCTAACATGTACACCCAAATCAATGTAAAAAAATATTAACTAACACTTTCTAACTGAACAATGAAATGTAAAATGATTTCAGATAAATCAAGAATTACCGATCAATTGAGGAGCTTCTGATCTGGAAGGATTGGACAACATACAAAGCTTGACATGCTCAAGGACCAACATCCGAACCTCAACAACTCTGTCAGTCAACCTCTTCAAAAACTCAAAAAAGATTGGCTGAAATGTCTCAGGGATGCTAGATCCTGGGATAGAGAAAAGGTCTCCCACCAGTTTGACCGCCTTTAAGCGAAGGTCTATTTTATCTGTCTGTAAATATCATCACTTTACTCACTATAGCTTTAAAGAATTTAAACAGATCAATCATCCTCTGAAAAACTAGTACAACGTAATCAAGAACTTTGTTACCATATCGAATCCCCTTCAATATTAAATTATGTAGAGATTCTTAGGTGCCAAAAACTCCAATTAAATAAAGAGCGACAAGAAAATAAGTGATTACCAGGAGCTCCCCGATTAGGTAGGGTACGATTCCTGCTAAGGCCTGAGGAGCACAGCGGTATACATCATAGATGACTTCATGGTAATCAATCTGAGAAATCAAAGGACTGCTCTCTCCTGACATTGATTGTACAATGAACTGCTTTATACAAGGTTCAAGTTTTCCGGCACATTGCCCTATAACATTCATAGCAAGCCTCCTTGCAGCCGTTGTTATCCCCTATGGAATCACATTTGCAAATTTAAGCCTCAGCGACAATGATATACGTGTAACTTGTTTAAAGGGACGTGAAGATAAGCATGAAATCATATAGCACCAGAACAGAAATATATTATTAGTAAATAACCATTAACAAATAGAAGAACTTACTTTCTTATCTCGGCCTAAAACCGACAGAATAATGAGCAAAAGGTCCTCGTTAATGTCCTCACTCTCTTCCAAAAGAACCACCATGATTGTCTTCATTGATGTGATAACAGTCTCTGAATGTTCATCACTGCATGTATTTTAAACGCAGACAAGTTATGAAGTCAGGCCAACAAGGGTTAGGGAAGATATACCAGTCGCATGTTAGGTGTTACACACAACAATTAGGTAAAAAAGCATTTTGAACATACCTCCATATGATAGGGTCAATATTTATATCTGCTTGCTCCTTAATTAACTACATTTATTTAACATTTTATGATAATTAAATGTCGGTATTCCCATGTCATTAACACACATACTTTGAATATGTTGTACATCTTTTCCCATATTTATGTACACAAAGCAAAGCAGGTTATAACACCATTATATGAACTCTCCCTTAAACTTGATGTAGACAGCCCAGCACAAAGGACTGGATTTTAGAAGTAATTTGGTTGTTCTAACCTCATTTAACAATCAACATCACTTGTTAGAATTCCACATAAGCTCGACACAGTCCCTTTCTCCTCTATATATGTTGGAACTTCCCTCCTCTTCTCAATGGTTCTTTTAGCGAGTAATTTGATGGGGTCCCACGTATCTTCAAATAGTATATGAGTCAAGGTCTTCCTCTAAAAGAGACTCTGACACCCTAGAGCACCATTGTTGGAGGGGGCATAGTGGAGTCTCACATCAGCTAGACATGGTCCCTTTCCCCATTATATATGTTGGAACCTCCCTTCTCTCTTTAAGGGATCTTTTTTAAAGTAATCTAATGGGGTTTCATATCTCTTCACATCACCAGTGATAAAGGGTCTTTCCCCCAAAGTTACCATGTGAGACTCTTCAACCTTTAGGCTGTGAGTTAGTCTCTTTTGACACATGAGTGTGTGAATTTATTGTTGCTCTCTTTTTGTCGTTGAGCTTAAAATATTTTTATACTTAATTAGTCATTATAAAGCCTCCTCACTACTATTGATTAAGCCTCTTAATTTAAACTATTGACATGACTTCCAACTAGGACAATGAGACTATCTTATTATAGCATTCATGATACTGAATGCACCACTCAGAAGGACCAAATTAAGTGCTAACTAGAGCCATAAAGATGTCATTATAACTATGGTGGATTCATTCACTCCAAAACTCATCGAACCCTTCCCCTTTGTGTGACCCTAAATAAACCTTATCAAGTTCTTCGATTTAAGTCTACAAATATTTTTCTACGAGTTTCCTTCTCCACTAGGTAGCCTTCATAATGCGCCTACTATAAATGTACTCAAAACTAATTTTCATATTAAACTTCTAAACCATGGTCTAATCTCAACCAATGCATATTAATATTTGTTAAGGACTCATTGGTTTGTGGTTCATATCTCAAAATAACTAGCTCCAGAATCAAAACACAGGAAAAAGACTGGAAAGCAACTTAAAGCTACTTGTTTGAATATTCATTCTATTATATATGGTACCAAAGCAAATGCTAATATAACTGGGCATAAACTGTATACTCTAATCACAAATGTGATTTAATGAAAACTTTTACGAATTTTGAGCTAAATAAATTGTATCGCACCGATACCATAATAAAGAAGGTTTGGTAATTATAATGAGATTACAACCCCATTTAATTATCAAAAGTCGACATCAAGTAACAAATATGAACCTGGCAACAGCGAAAAATGTTCTGAACATTTCATTGACTAAATCATCACATTCAAGATCCAACATCACAATGCACGATCTATATTTAGCTACTGTGTCCAAGATAGTAACTCTCCTCCCAAAAGATGGGCCTTTGGTATCTCGTAGCCCACTGAAGGTGCTTACAATCAAATGAAAGATGTCCTGAAGCATGTGAAAGAGCAATTAGGATCCAAAACATAAGAAGATGATGATCATGCAACTAAGAAGATGTTCCAATGGTAAAAAAAGTATACCTTTAGAACATCATCATCATATGGCGCTTCAGGAGCAGTTACTCTGGTTATCTCACATGTACAGGTTGCAACAAGAAGCTTAACTTCTTTATCATGATGTTTTAGCAACTCTGGCTTCACAATGGCATTTATAAACGGCTGCATAGATTCCAACACTGACTTTGATGGTGATTGCTCCAACTCAGAGAGAGATGCAGCTGCTTGCTGCAATAAAGCAAAGTATATGCATTATGTTTCTGAAATCTCTCAAGAATCATCAATAGTTTATCTGGTGGCATATATCCCTCCCTACTCCCTACAACTCATGAATTAAAATCCTCACAATAATAAGGTCTACTCGACATGAATTAGGCGCTTATGAAACTTTTTACAGGAACCTTCCATAAAATTCCAACTTATAGTAAGATTATCAACTAATCAGAAAGCTTTATTATTATAGCATGGTGTTTGATTTGGCAAATATATCATATTATTGTATAGTCTTTCATATATATGATGCAACCCCAATTCTTATCTTTTTTAATAGAAATACCTAGTCACTTCAACTTACAATGAAGAGTTTGTTATCATATCAGACAAGGAACACTCAGATATTCTATGGGTAAGACCATAAAGCAAGAGTATAGTCACAAGAAAGCACCGGAGGCAAAGAAAGGTGACTTTTCATTGAAGCACTGAGCATAGTTACAGGTAATCTCCATAATATTTTAACTACTTGCAATGGAAGAAAACTTTTCTCTTTCAGTGTAGCACTGGGTACAAGCTCTTCACCAAAGCACTCCTACTTCACTGATAGAATGACAAAATTCCTACTTCAGTGGCACCATGGAAATAATCCTATTTCACTGAAAAACAGGGGTAAAAGTACCAGCGCATAAGGAAACCAGGGAGTCCTAGTTTAGTAGAGCACTTGAGTAAAGTTCTACTTTATGGATATTCTCAGTACCGGTCAATGCAATTTTAGCCTTTCCCGGGTTACTATCATTGACAATATGTAGCTTTATATAAGCAAAGGCACCAATTTCACATGAAATAATCTGAATTCTTCAGGGATCTTACATTTCTATAAATTAGGAGTTCAACCACCAAGTATTGGACATTGACATGCAAAATCACAGACCAGAAGAGACTATCTAGTTGGTGATATTTGAAAATAAGAATGATAAAAGCTGCCACCCACTACTTATCTTCCTCGTCCTTCAAAGCCAACCCTAATTCCAACCAATATCTTGAACGAAATATACAAACTTTTTCTCAACTAAAATTGGCAGTAATTAACTAAAAATAGAGCAAAACCACAAAGAAATCGCTTTTTTTGTAGAAATTGAAATCGTTATCGTTAAGGCGTCTTTAAACAGTCTTTACAAGTAAATGAAAACTCGAAAGTGGAATGGGGAATAGTCTAATTGTTGGCTGGAATGAATGATAAAGTTGAATATATTCCCCACTCCTTGAAACTGAGCCCTAATTTTGAACAAAATTTACACAAGATTTCCAGCAGACCCATGAATATCCCCAAAAGAGATTATTTATTCCTCAACCAAGGAACTGCAGAATTAAAAACCTTCCCTCCCCCAAAACAATGAAATCAAATTTTAAAATAAGTTTCTTCAAATTTAGAAACTTTTAAGACAAGAAGAAGAAAAAATCTTGTCTACCGAAATTCTCATCAATATACGAGAAGAAGTAGAAAACCCAGAAGAAAGCGGTGTTGTAAGAACCCAGAAAGCAAAATCTTCAATGGATGGAAGTGTAATGAGAAGCAAGTACCTTCAAGAGCTTGATGAGAGCATCTTTATTAGCGGGTGGGTTCTCAAGTTTGGATCCAACTTCTTTCAGCTGGTTTTGAATCTTGTCAGCCATTGTTTGTTGTTGAGAGTTATGTTGTTGTGTTGTGACTTTGGTTTTCAAATCGCCATAGAAAGCTTGAGAGAAGAAAGAGGGGGGGCTTTTTTCGAACAAGGAAGCGAAAGCAACGCACTTCTCAACTTAATTGTGTGTGTGTGTGTGTGTGTGTGTGTGTGTGTGTGTGTGTGTGTGTGTTTCTATGGAACTTGTAAATCCAACTTCTCTACTTCTTCCCCTTTGGGTTTTCATAAAAGTACAAAACATGTTAATATATTTCTATTTTACTTTGTGTTTCACTTCAAAATAATTGTACATATTTTTATTTTTAAGTAAATATTACTTTTTTATTTTCCCCGCAGATTATTATTAAAAGTAAAATTGTCATTTTGTCAATTAAAATTAACATTTGTGTCATTTTTATTGTAGACATGGATTTTATACTTAACTATAAGATTCAGAAAGAAAAAATTCACTCTGTTTTTAAAGGTAAAAGATGATTAAAATTGCAACATGTTTAAACCTATGTCATTTTTATCGTGGACATTTATTTTTGGATGAAAGAAATAACACAATTTAAGAGTGAAATCGTTATTGGTCTTTGGTCCTATGTTTTGCCTCCTTTTTCTATTTTGTCTCTAGGGATATATTTACTCGTAGAACAGGACAAAAAAATAGTCTCATATTTGGTAGGTCATGAGGAAAAAATGAGATTAGACAAAAATGATTTATCAAAGTTCGTCCTCAAATTAAATCAGAAATCGAGTTCTTAATGTTATTCTCCATAAGTCGAGTTCTTAACCTTAATCTCCATAAATCGAGTTCTTATCGATTTAAGTTATCAGTTTCGATTTCTAATTTCTGATTTGAGTTCATTGATTTATGTTTTCAATTAGGTTTTCAGTTTCGTCTATTTCGTCTTCCATGGTTGTCGATTCAATTGATATTCCAGTCTTAATCGATTTGCATGGTTACTTCCAACCGAATTCGATTTCAATGGCTACTCGAAACTGATTTACTATGCAGATGGTTTTCGAGTTCCATGGTTGTTGATTCAATGGCTACTGTATGCTTTCTAGTCGAAATTCGAAATCAATGGCTATTGAACCACCTCTGGTTGTGCTTATGGTTGTTTTTCTCCGCCTCCGTTTGCATTTGCATATCACCCTCTTTTTTATATTTTATAAAGAAAAAAGTAAATAAAGAACATCACAATCACAATCACAATCACAATCGGCTTCAACAACAAATAATTGAATTACCTTTGGATCTTTGAATGAAGTTTTCATGGGCCTCAAGTTTGTCTTTACTCTGCTATTCATTTCTATAAATAATTGCAACAACTTAACGTTAATGAACTTTGCAAAATCATAGAAACACAGGAAATCAAACATGACCAATTTTGACTATTGGTTGTTACTACTTGTTTTGTTGATTCTCACAACTTACATGCTATAAAAATAACATTAAACTACGTTTAGAATCCAATAAGTAGTCATTATATAGTGTTTCATAACCCAAAATCATCAATCCAATTAACAGTGTTAATCTAGAATCCGTTAAATGTATTATGTGTCTCTATCTGAGATTGAGAGGCAATTTGAACTTTCTACTCTTCTTTATTTTCTTGTTTTTTAAATTATATATAAATAGAGTCATGTGTATACATATTTTTTTTTCTTTTTCTTTTTCTTTAATTAAGAATGAATTCCCAGCAACCTTGCCCCCTTGTTTCTTAGGAGGAACTTGAACGACGAACGCTAACTCAAAGATCTTGTCTTATTCACTACCGCCCTAAAATAAATTCGATATGAAGCAATAATTTATGTAATTTTCTTTTGATTCACTTTTGGTTTTAGGGTTTTTTTCGTTTGTATTTAGATTTAGACATACATTATTGTGCAAGAATTGTTTTAAATTTGAATATTTTGTATGAATGTTTTAATTTGAATCAGATTTAGGGTTTAGGTTTGAATCTAATTTTAGTTGTTTTAATATGGTAGGGTGGGGGTGGTCATAGTCAGCGGTGAATGTTTTTTAGGAAGAAGAGGAGGAGTAAAATGTATTTATGTCCTGTTTGGTTTGCAGAATTAGATAGAATTTTGGTGGGATTTGGAATTCAATTCCTATGTTTAATTTGGTCGATTGTTTGGATTTGAAATCTCGGGATTGCATTGAAATCCTACAAAGATGATATTTAGAAATCTCATGGGGATAGTTGGCATTTTGAGGGATTTCGTAGATTTTGTTTATAATAATATTTTAAAATATTGTTTAAACCGCTTGTTTTGTAATAATTAATTAATAAAAATATAATTTAATAATTTTTTTTATAGTTTGTTTCTATAAATTGAATTTAATTTCATTCCAAACTCCACAACATCAAAGATTCCAAATCATCCCATGAAATTCAAATCCCTCAAAAATATTACATGAAACCAAACAAACCCTTAAGGTTTGTTTTTTCTATTTTTTGTTTTATACCCTTACATTTTAGACTTTTGTAGTTAATTATTTAATTTATGGTACATCTTCTTGTTTTTTTATTTTTCTTTTTACACCCTTATCACATTAACATACATAATCGTATATTAGCTAAAATACATTAAAATTTACGTTTTATTTTAACAAATTACATCATTATAATCGTCTCGTTAATCTCTTCGAAATGAACTCAATAATGAATATTATTTGATTTAATTATATTATTATAGTTGTATTTTAAATACCTTTCAAATGAACACAATATCGAATATTTTTGGATTTAATTATATTATTATCTATCATATATAGTACGGAAAAATTATTTTTAATACTTACACTATATACTCTT